CCCCAAGGGCTGGTGCTGCACCACCAGGTTCAACACCCCGCTGCCGTATCTCCTCAGAAGCTGCTCGCTGGGAAACGGCACTTCCAAGGGTATCAAGGGCCGTGGAAGCCTCTCCTCGCACCCCCAACGAACAGCCTGGCACCACGGGAGCGGGAGCACTCCTCTGTCGCATGCTATAGGCATCTGAGTGACCTACCCTGATCAGAAACCAGTGGCCCGAAACAAAGCCTTCCCGGGGCTGAAGTACCTGAAGGGGCCTACAGGAAGGATGGAGAGGGACTTTTCACAAGGGTGTGTAGTGATAGGACAAGGGGGCCTGCACTTTACTGCAGAATTACAGTCTTGCCCGACTTTGCTTTGGAGGTGTCCTTGATTACCCACTGAAGGTTCCTCACTTCTGTGAGCAGCACAGGTTGAGACGATGTGGGGAACAGCTGAGTTCTGTTCATTGGCCTCCAAAGCAGCAAGAAACTAACTTTGACACGGCTAATACTGAGGTGTGCAAGGAGTATAACACTGCCTCCTCCCTGGAAGTGTCTAAGGCCAGGTTGGATGGAGCTCGGAGCAACCTGGTCTGGTGGAACATGTCCCTGCTTATGGCAGGGGGGTTGGAACCAGATGATCTTTTAAGGTCCCTTCTAACCCTTACCATTCTATCATTCTATAAAGCAATACCTCCAGGAGCCCTACCCCCTGGATCACATAAATCCTGCCTGAAAAACAAAGAGCTCCTTTCCCTGAGTGTGGTTGAAGAGACCAGACACAGCCCCTGTTCTTGGTGCGGTCTCTGCCAGACTGGATGGGAAAGAAGGAAGATGGCTCCTGTTGGACATAAACCACTTTACAGCACGACACAGGACTGACCTTTCTCCTCACCAAAACAAGCATACTCCTGACCACATTCCTTCCCAAGGAAAGCGATTCTGGAAGAATTTTAATTCTGGGATTCTGGTTTGGTTTTAGCTCTGAGTAGAGCAGTAGCATAAGTGTTTCAAATTGGTCTTCATTTCTTTGTCAGGCTTTAACCATCATGAAATACAAGGAAGACCAAGAGACTTATGTCTTAGCAAGATCTCCTAATAAAAATAAAAGGGATCAGTCATATATAAAATGTGGAAGAGATTATTGCTCCAAAAATGAGAAACTGGGCCACAAGGCCACCGTGAACAATGGTGAGACTATAGTTTGTGTGGAAGTCCTAATGCTGTGCTTTCTTTGAAGCTGTCAGAAAGCTCCATTTATTGGCTTATTGCAGCCACCATTTCTGAATCCTTACACAAACAGGTTACCGGGGGAGACAGGGTGAGAAAAGTATCTACAAAACAGTAATACACCAAAAACCATGAACACGCTATATTCACTCACCAGATACACAGATCAGCCACATCCATGCTAACTGCAATCCATTACATTAAGAGCATGGTCTGTCCTTTGATTTCACCAGAGAGAATCCTGTTGAAAGCTGAGATACTCATGCTCATGACAGTATTAATAAAAAACAAACCAACTAATCCTTACACAGAAACAAAGTTGGGATGAAGTATTAGACAATGCTGCATCTTCAAAAGTAAGCTGTCTCTTCTCTTTCCCCAAACGACTCCCTACTTCCCTGAAACATACGTTCATATCTTAGTATGGAAATTAAATACAAATTAAAACAGTTTGTGACCAACTTGTGTTTGATCCCTTCTGGCTTCTCATTATAAATGCAAAATTATCTTCTAAGTGTGAAAAATGAATGAAGCTGAAATGGCTCAGTATTAACATCAGGATAGCGACAGTAACCCAAGGGAAAGGAAAGGGAGTCAGACAGATTTTTAAATCTACAGTTGATTTACTCCAGAATTCTTTCTGCTCCATTTCCGTATTTGTAAGATCCAAGTCTTCTACAGGGGAATTAAGTTTTAAAGCACAATTTGAAGTACTGTCTAAAGCCAATGGCCCTGCATGCAATACTCTAAGGAACCTATTACTCTTTCTGTTCCCCCTTCTACAGTTATCCGTTTATTGCAAAAGGACCTAAATGCTAGGCCCTCTCTGTACCTTCCCAAATTGTCTGGAATTGGAGAGGGTCTTCAATCTTAGGATGCTGCCCCAGCAGCAGGTCTGAAAGCTTCCTCACCACGTACGGCTTTACCACCCCAATTCCTGCTTCTCCATTGAAAGGAAATTAACTATCCGAGTATTCAGTAAAAAAATCCACGTGTTGAATTGCCTGTGCCTTTAGAGCAGTGTTTGCTTTCTGGTTTCTAGAACAACAGAAGAGGCAGTCAGCTTGGTGCTATATTAAGAAAACTGGAAGGAAGAAAAATTTGGTTTAGCACAGTAGAGTCACTAACCTTATCAGCACAGAACTTGTCTCCAATCTTTTTGAAAACCAGCCCTCAGCCACATCCTATTGCAGGAGACACAGGCTAGAGCATGTGACTGGTGACTAGTACTCACCACCAGCCCTAAGGAACAGCAGCTCTGAACTGACTCGGGACAGCGAGACAGGACTGCAGAGGATGTGAGTTAAGTCTCATGCTGCACCCCAGAGCGAAAGCTCCCTGGCTGTGACAGAAGATGGCAGCCCAGATGACAAGGGGAAATAGCAGAGACACATACACAAAGCAATTTTATGAAGGAAGCTATGAAGACATGAACTTTACAGCTAGAGGCAAAACCAAATAGTAAGCAAGTTTGCTTAGGTCCTGCCCATGTGCCCATTTTTTCCCCGTGGGCTGTGTTTATTTCACTGAAGACAGCTTTTTCCTGGCAGAGTACTGTATTGTGAAGTCTTTGGTAGCTTCTACAAGTTAAACACTGTGGATTACAGACTGTCACCAATCCCTCCAGCAGATGGGATGTGACAATGATACTACAAGCATTTACAATCAGATTCCCCTGCCCCCCCCTTTTTTTTCCATATCAAGGCTCTAATCTCCTCAAGTAGAAGCCATTATGTTGTGGATTTGAAGTGCTTACTCCTGTTCTAAAAGGCAATATAGATTGAAGGTTGCTGGAGCCAGAATACAGATTAATTATCAAAAAAGAATATGCGTTTCTACTCCATTATTCACAGATAGAATTAGGTGTCCAGCTGAAAAACAACCTCCCTGAGAGAAGAGGTTTTGCAGCAAACTGAGTGGCTCATTTGTTTGATTTTTTGACACAGATTACCACTGCAAGAGTTGTTTCACCAAATATCTCAGCTCAAAACCTTAAACTCATAGCAAAGCTCTGGTCTGCAAGTATTTATGTACTTGTCCAAGTTTCCTGACAGAAGTAAAAGAACTGTCATATATAGTTCACATAAACTGTCATATACAGTCATATAAAAGAACTGACAACTGTCAGGCATGTGCACTTGTAGGATTGGGTTCATAGAGCATATAATCATGTTGGTTGGAAGACACTTCTGGAGGTCATTTAGACCAACCTCCTGCCCAAAGCAGGACAAGTTAAAGCCAGGTGGTTCAGGGCCACATCCAGTTGAGTTTTTAGTGTCTTCAAGGTTGGAGATTCTATAACCTTCCTTAGCTCCCGTTCCAATTTCTGACTACTTGTATGGTGACAATTTTTTCCTAATGTTTAATCAGAATTTTCTATACACCAACTTTTCTCTGTTGCCTCTTTCCTATCCCTGTGCCCTCTGAGAAGGGTCTGGCTCCATCTTCTGTATACCTTCCCATTAGATAGCTCAGGACAGCAGAAAGGTCTCCCTTAGCTTTGTCTTCGTAAACCCAGTTCTCTCTCCTGCTACCCTTTGTGCTCTAGCTCTCTGATCTTGGTGGCATCTGCTGGACTCACTCCAGTGTGTCAGCATCTTTCTTCTACTGGGGTGTCCCAAACAGGACACACAACTCCAGATGTGGTCATACAATTACTGAATAGAAGGCAAGACTTACTACCTCAGCCTGCTGGCTTCGTTTTCGTAATGCAGCCCCGGATGCAGCTGGCCACCTTTGCCACAAGGGCACACTTCTGGCTCCTGGTCAACCTGCTTTTGAACAGGATGCCCATCCGCTTTTTCTGTGGAATGTTTTTTCCGCCAGTACTACTGCATGGGGTTATTCCAACCCAGATGGAATACCCAGTCACATTTGCCCTTGTTAAACTTAATGAGGTTTAGTTCAGCTCATTTCTCTTGCCTGTCAATAAACATCTGAATAGCAGCTGTATCCTCCAGCATACCATAACCTACCTAGTAATCTACACTGCTCTTGATGGAAGCAGCTATTCTGAAAAATCAGGCTCCTTACCTTTGTAGAAGCAACAGATTTTACAAAATGTATTGCTTGATTCCCTTTGCTCTGAACATGCTACATGCTCACATTCGCAGCTTTCTGAACGTCTTATGAATACAAGTGCACAAGTGTTGCCTCTATTCTCTTCTATGGGTTTAAGCTCCTTCTAGCATCACCCAGGATGCATCAGGCCCCCATCCGACTGGTTTGGTCAGTGCAAGAGGGGAACATCAAGAAGTACCTAGGCCACAGAAGAGAACTTAGATGCATCTGAACCAAAAAGCCCACAATGCATAGGGACAGTGCAGAAGGACGCAGACTGATACTGAACTAAGACAACAGGAAGTGTTACAGTTCAGTTCAACAAATGCTGACAAAGTTCAGATCAGGAATGTTTAACTATTTTATGTTAATAAGAAATCCTAGGAACTTGATTTCATTGCAGATCAACATTTTCATCTGACACTTGATGGAAAAAACTGTTCTTGAAATAACAGTTTCACATCACATGAGAATTCCTCTTTGTCTTTAAATCCAGTGCTAGACTAGTAAGAACAGCATGATTCACTGTCAAGAAACATTTACCACGACTTCTCATGAGAGTTAAAAAAGGAACAAAAGTTGTGTCAGAATAATTCAAACAGATAAATCTTATGGCACATTTCAAAGGCTCACATCAAAGCAATTTTATGCAGACTCTCTTTATACAGTAAGTAGTTACATATAATATGCATGACAAAAATATGACAGTTTCTGTTTTTAATATTTAATATCCAATCTAAACATAAGTATTCAAAAGGAAATATTTTTACACCATTTCAGTAGTAACTTAGCTCAGTAGTTGGCTGCAATCATCCTTACTGTTGTCAGGAACTGGCTGGAGCTATAAGCATATAAACACCTATTAAAGTTAATGCATGACAAAGTTCCACCGCAACCCTCTGAAAAGCAAAGAGTTACATTAAAAGGAATTCAGACACTGAAACACACTGAAATGTATTGTGCCCTACAGTAGAGTTTGATACTCTACTGGTCAGAAACATGATGGTAACTTCAAAAGGCACTCTGAGTTAAACTACAGTAACTCCGGTCCACAATGGTTTTCGAATCTTGGTATAGTATAGTAGAAAAAAACCCTATATTTATTCAATATAAATTGCTTTAATCTTTGTCCTAGCCCCAGAGCTGTCAAATTATATTGCACTTTTAAAATATTCTGTGTAGGCTGTGATAAAAATCTAATATTTACATGTTGTGTTTGTTACAGAACAATGCATTACTTTGTAAAATATTTTAAGAATGAAGTTTTAACACTTACTCTTGTATTATTAAATAACCAGAGGCTATATCAAATATATATTTTTTTTATTAGCTCCTATTCTAGAAACATTTTTGGTCCTTCAAAAAATTTGTTATGCTGCAATTCATGTCCACAACTGTTATCAATGCTTGCTTGAAATTGCAGTAGTTAATATTTAAATAAATACATACGTAATTTCTAAAGTAGTAACTTTGTAAACAAACTGCTGTGGAAAGCCTGTATCAAGACTCAATTTGGCATGTTATGACTTTAATTGGCAATACTTTACAGTTATACAACCTCTGCCAGGGTAGAAAACAGTTTGGTAGGCACATCTTATAAATCAGTCTGGACAAAAGACCTAAAAAATACTGATTGTTCCTTAGGTTGTATAAATAAATAAAAATTCTCAAAGAGTAACATGATCCACTGAAATCAAAATTGACATTTATGTGATCCATGGCGGGGGGGGGAAGGAAAGCAATTCTATTCTTTTTAAATACAACCTGAAGGAAATGAACAAGCCATAAATGAACATATGATAACCAAGGTGTACAGGACACAAAGGTTGGCAGAATAAAATGAGCATTATGAATTTATAGAAATACTGATCTAGACAGAACTGGTATCTTAGCTGCGTCTCACCAGAAAACAATCATCATTCATTTTTAAATCCAATTTTGAAGAAACATTCCAAATCTGTGTTTGGTAAAACAAATTCCGTGCAAAGCACTAGCTCTGATGAAATTTTGCTGACATCTGGGTTGCCCGACATTCCTGTTAAAACATGAGTGGTAACATAAAAGAAACATAACAGATGTACAGTTATGCCATTTACATATAAATATGTATATATGCATGTTCTAGAAATTCAAATAATGTCAGGTCTCATTGGCTGCGTTGGATATATTTTATATAGTACAGTTGTAGTTTACATGTTCAATTTCATGACACCCAAAGTGCTCTGCATATGCACCCTTGTGCTTCTCTGTAGTTTTGTATTCTGTATAGAATAACTTTCTTTTGGTTTTCATCACTAGAAACAGATGGTTTGAGAAAGCAAGGAAAAGCTACTTGCAGGCTTTTGTGGAAAACACAGGATTTGGTTTTTAAGTTTGTTACTGATTGATGAAATGAGTAAATGTTTCTGTCCAAAACCAAGAACCATGTTGATAAGCTTGCTGTTAGTAGAGACTAAAAGCTGTCACAATATCTAATCTACATGCCTACTCTGTGTAGTTAACGGAGCCTTCAAAGGGCAACTGAAAATTCTTCAGTTCAGAAGCCTACCCTTTCTCATTACCCATACAGAGAGCGGTTTCAAAATTCCTCTCCTTCCCTTCCCTCTAGAGAATTAGAGGAATATCCAGTGCTACACCAGATTAAACCTCTGTCCCATCACTAATAAACTGCATACCTTGCAAGCAAAGGTCAATGTTGTTTGAAAGGAAAAAAACCACAAAAATTAGTATCAAGAATTAATATAGCTCATTAAATAACTACACAGTGATTTGTCCATAAGTTAAACACTTAAGATGCAACTGTACTATACTTTATCATATACATAAAGCAACTGTAACTGAGTTAACAGCTACATTTGCCTTTTTTTTGCTCCTCATTCAGCTGTTCTGTAGAGCTGTGCCCATTGGAGCGCACTACCCCTTCTGGGATCCAGGATTTATCCACACACCGTTCCATGCGCTTCATAATGAGGTCAAGCAGAGTTTCAATGGCTTTGCTTACATTATTCCCATTAGCTGCACTGGTTTCAAAATACGGTATTCTGCAGAAGACAAAAAACACAAACTTACATCACACAGTTTATATTCATAGGAGAAAAAAAACAATACATGATTACTGCCACATACTTAGAAATCACATAAACACTGTTACTGTTACTCCACAGCAGAAAAACACTAAGCTGTCAGTGGTCTGAAATGCAAAAGAAATTAATGAAATGGCTGACTCTGTAGGTAGGGCAGAAGGATAAGCTCTAATTCACATCACACAGTCCAGAATTTACAGAGGCACTGGTCAGTATGAGTTCCCAAAGTTATGCTCCTGAGGTCTGCTTTTCTCAGCTCCCTTCCCCACAAGAGATGCAATTACTTTATATGGCCTTGTGTGTATAAGTGTTCTCCTTACTGATTTCTATCTGCATCAGGTAAGGAGTCATTGCAAGAGAGGTAACGCCATAAAGATTCCTAATGTGGTACTTTATCACTACAAAAGGTAACTGTTTCTTCTGTTGACACCTCAGCCATGAACTCTCTTGCATTAAAAAAACCAAAACCAGACCAAAACCTCAGTGTTCAAACCACCTAAGTCTTTGTTAACAAAAGTTTGTGGGCCCCCTTGGTTTTGAAAATACATTGCTAGTTTTCACTGTTTCAGTGGCAGGTCTGTAGGCTTTGACCTTCTGCGCTCAGTGCTCCCCACAGGGTGGTGCTGGAGTGGCTTCGGTAGCGTTACTCCCCAAGTGACTGATATAATCACTTCATAATTTTACGTATTTCTTACTTAACTTGCAAGATTCAATGAGTGGTCAATAATATTATCTTACTGCCTCAGTGCGTAGGTCTCCTGCAAACATTTTCAAAATACATCACTTAACATCTACAAGGCCTTTCCACAGAAAGAGGATATTCACTATCTTGCACTTTTGTTACCAGAAGACGGCTTGCTACAGCAGGATTTATTGTGCTTCCCCTCAAGAGCAAGCGAATCCTAGCAACCATCCTGTCCAATCTGCACAGGGCAGAGCACTTTCTGACTGCCTACAGATTGGACATGATCTATAACTTTCACTTTTAGCTCCCTCTTCCTAAATTAAGTTGGCATTTTCAGCCACAAAGATAAACATTTCATAAATTATTTCCAGAAGTCACACACAAAGAGATCTCTTCCAAATGTTTAAGAAATGCCCACATGCCATCTGCTGCTGTTTAAGAGTTTTTGCTCCTTCACAAGCAGCTGGTTAAAGTACCATACGCACTTGCTGTTGTCTGTGAGACATGGACTTCAAACAAGCGTTTTCACAGGAGAAGGAAAAAGTAAGAAGGTACTATCGCACTAAACCCATTTGTCTCTAATAGACAGATTGCTTCTGATTTGCCCCCAATGATTTTCAAGGTCAAGGAAAACTGATATGTGGCTATGTGACAGGAAACAGCATGGCACGCCAAGATGGGACCTGCAGAACAAGGCAGTCAGCACTGAGGACCTAGCATTCACACTGTGCATGTTTTGTGGGCTTTACTTTGGACCAGCTCTAATCTATTCACCTGGACTGAACGCAGATTACTGGCTAGAGCACATCATCTAATTTCGTTTTCAACTGAGAAGGATTCCAGTTCACGTGCTAGAAAGCTGCTCCACTGTGTGAATCAGACCACAATAAGTGGATCAGAAGATTTGCTTCAAAAGAGCACTTATGACCCACACTGAAATACAAATGTACTCCAGAGATGAAACCCACAGAAGAGTAAGGGTGGTACAAAAGTACTATGGGATTAATTAGTACCTGATAGGAACAAAGGTTTCACATAGTTCCTTTCAGGATACAGGACCTGTGCCTGTAGGGAAGGGCAAGGCCACCCTGTCTTCCTGCTGCCCTGACTCGGTTCTCAGACTCCCTGGGAGACTGTGAGAGTGCAGATGCCTGCAAGAAAATATGACTGACCCCTTTGGGGCTAAGTCACCGAGAATTCACCTAAGGTACAAAGTCCTAACAAAACTGCTTGAACAGTTGAGGGAAGATTGAATGGGGAGGGGGCAGAGAACTGGGGAACCGTGGTCCGGACCAGAACTGCTCCTTCTGTGGGAACCCGGCACTCTGTAAGCAGACTGAATACTGGTGAACGGGTCCCGAGGCTTTCAAAGAAACCAAGGCCTCATGTTTCTATGGCTATGTGAGAGACAATGGCTACCCTACAACAAACTTTTGTAAAACAACTCAGCTTGTAATTAGGATATCACTGCTCGGTATTATTTCTGTTTTCCCTAAAATCTGATGTGATGCGCATTACCTCACACCAAATGCTCTCTGGATTTCACTTTGTAAGAGACCTGGGTTTTATGGGCCCCATAGAAAGCCTCAGCACAGGCAAGAGCAAAGAATTAGAACCCCATCATTCACCTGACACTCCAGCTAAATTCTACATCTTTTCCAGAATGTTTGTGAAAATTTGTTTACTGCCAAGGAAAGAAGACTCACTGATCTCCAGTGCAAGATTATTGCAATACTAAGTATGAATTTTCAGGCAATGCAGGAATAATTCATCTTTGACAGAAAAAAGATACCATACCAGCCAGTTAAGCATTCTGAAATGCTTATTTTCACAGTAACTTTTCAGTATATAGAAAAGCATTACAGAAAACATTTTACTCTGCTTTTAACACAGCAATAACTGGAAGGAAGTTACTTACCCATATTTTTCTGCAAGTTCCTTAGCCTCTTCTTCTTTCACCACTCTTTGGTCTTCCAGATCACTCTTGTTTCCACATAATACAATGTCGGGGTTTTCACAATATGCATGCATTTGTAGCTGACCTAGTAGCAACAACATGAATAGGGGTCACAACTTACTGTCACAAATAAAGCTCATTAAGAATACTACCACATTTCAAGGGACACAAAGTCCTTCAGGAAAATGACTCCCTGAAAGACAGAAAACAAGTACATTCTCTGTTATCTCACAGGACTTCTGCTATTGCACTGAGGGGCCAGAGAACAGGTGGACATCCACTATCACGTACCCAGTGAAAAAGCCAGGGGAGCAGAAGCCTGACAAAGTTAGCATAGAAGCTGTGTATTTGTAGTTTAAATTGTTACGCTCACCAAGCATCTTCAGTGAGCTGCCAGGAAAGGATATACTTCCACCTCCTGACGCATGATGCAGTTTGCAAACTCCTTTGCCTAGATACACCAGCCTAGTAACGTTTGCCTTGCATTAAATTTTGCTGACAAAGCTTCAGGTAGGTCAAAATAGAGTTTTGCATAGGCTTTCCACACACTTAAATTATTGAGTATCACCAGAGCCAGGGATATGATGTTCTCTCAGCTTGCTTTTATATAGGTTAAGATTCAAGTTCAGGGGGCAAAGCTGAATTTCAGGTAAGCACTAGAAGCCACCACTAGCAGCTATTACAATGATGAATGTAACGTTTACTTTCTTTTACTGAGAAAGCTATAAAACCCAGTATTTTCAGTTCTATTTCTCAGTGAGACTCCTTATTTACAAACATAGCTCCCTCCCCACCCATGCAAAGAAAAAAGAGAAGTGCCATACTTATCCAGTTCCTGACATTCAGAAAGCTTTGCTCATTTGTCAGATCAAAGAGTAGAAGGAACCCCATGGCATCTCTGAAGAAAGCTGTTGTCAAGCTACGAAACCTAGACCAGCAAAGTGAAATTAGTTGGCAAGTTACTTTGAAAATATAATTGCATACAGTCATGAAACTGTGGTAACTTAATACTGAATTAACTAGAATGAAATATTCATCATAATTGTTTTGCTGATGCATGGACTGCATAACAAGAATTGCTAACATTACTATGGTCTAATCAAGGCCTAAATCAAGGAGACGTTTCACTCGAGCGCGAGAGCTTTACACAAAGTCTTTACAATAAAGCATGACTTCATCAAGAATCAGAAATTAAAACAAGAATGAAATTCAAACTTTTAACAGAAATTTGTCCCCTATATACATCAGTTCTTGATTTTAAGATTATTAACCACTAGGATGCTAGTCTTTCAATAGACAAATAGAAAAGAATCCTTTGAGGCAATTTCACCTGTCTGACTTTCCCAAGACCTCAACGTATTTACAGAAATTTAAGGAAAACTGAAAAAAGAAAAGCTTTAAAAGCGTCTATATGCATTTGCCATGACACAATAAACTTAGAGTTTCCAAAAGACAAAAAGCAACAATTACAGTTTTGATGTTCTACAGTTGTAAGTTACAGTTGTAATTTAATGGGTATTCCTAGGAAACTTTCCATCATTGTTAAAATTAAAGTGCATTTTCCAATCTCGAGTCATACAATTAAAGTGTAACAATCAATAAAGAGAATTCATGTACTCGCTTCCATTTGCATCTAGCTTGATGGCAACTATCTCACTTGCTAGGTGTGAGGTGGAACATACCTCTCCTGCCCTGCAGTGTCCCAGAGCTGAAGATGTATCCTCTGTCCTCTGCCACCAACACCATCTGGCCCATTGGGTCTATACACCTGTAATGGGTAAATTTGCAAGACTGAGTGTTAGCAGTCCTGCCTCTACAGAACACAAAAATAACTGACATTTAAAGTCATTAAATGCAGAAAAACTGGCATTGCCGATGAAATGATCCCAACTACAACTCAATCCTTCTGCTTTCTCAGACAAGAGTAATACAGGCTACATTTTAATTTTGCATCCAATTGAATAAGCGTAAAAGTGAAACTGGAAAACCAGTATCCAGTAGACTGTGTACTCCAAACAGGCATTTAGATCGGCCATTAAGTTTCGTTAGACAAACTTAATTTTGGTATTTTTATTTTCTATTTTTTGCTATTATCTTGTATCAAGTTCAATTTAAAATGTAAGAAAGCAACAATCAGGTCATGCAATCTGGCGATATATTTGTATCACTAAGTGAACCTCATTAGCAAACAGAATATATTCATAAAGATAATGACATCTCAGCTGCCAAAAAGATTGCTGAAAAAGAGCTGACGGTAGATCTTATCATAGCTTAAAAAGCAGAAATTAGATGATAGTAATAAAAGCTGAAGAGTTTACTCAGCCTGAAAATATAAATAAGGGCATCTGTTAGCTTTGAAAGGATCAGATTAAAATATATTAATTTATTGTTTAGAACACTGCATGGTAGGTCATCTTCTTTACCTTCAGCTGTCATTGTACCTAAGATTACTAGAGTTACAAACATATCTTTAGACACACAAACTTGCTGAATTTGGGGATTATATGATTCAAGTTATGAAACCTAAAATTTGGTCCTAAGTTATCAAATATGCTGATCAAGTAAACCCACCATGTTTACTATCCCACAAAAAGAATACCAACTTATTCAAGAGATCAGTTTCACATTTCACTAAGATATATACACCTTGCACTACTGTGGTCCATCTCATCTATCAAAAGCCAGTCTGCACAATGCCCATTAAACCACCCAGATTTCTGGATGAAAGGCATTTAATACTTCTACACAAGAATGAGAAAAACTTGTGCCAACTCAGTTTCTCAGGGCAGTAAGGACCAGTACCCCATTGGTTATCATAATGCAGTGCTCAGCTTCATATCAAAAGTATGTTTGCCTAGTTTAATAACAATTCAGGGGTTAAAAAAAAAACCCTATCTTATTTTTCACAGTTCTTCTCTGGTAACTGTTTAGGAAGCCAGATCAGCTCCATGTATGATGCTATCCCATTTTATTCACATGTTTAAAATGGTTTTGAAAAATCAACATTGCAGTCTTTGTTCACTAGCCATTTCAGTTCACAAACAGCAAAAACATTTTTACTACAGCCCAATCCTTCCTCGTGAAGGAAGTTCAACAATAAAAGTGCTGCTCCAGGTATTATGTGCACAACTCACAGAGCAGATACACTCTCATCAACACTTGCTGACCAGTAAGAAGTAGTTGCTTAGAATCAGCTCTTCTTACTTTTATACTTTCGGGAAAACAGGGGGGACAACACACAACAACAACAAAAATAACCAGTAAAATGCGATCATTTCCTTGTCATAAGATCAAGTACTATTACTAGTACAGTAACTATTGATTGCATACCTACACGTAAGTATCGACAGGTCAGATTTTTAAAACATAGATTCTAGGCACCACCAGGACAGATACCATTTTAAAGTAGCACACTGTTTGTGAAAACTCACCACTCTCTTTTCCCGAAAGTCAATGCCCACCGTTGTGATAAATTTGGAATTAAATTTGCCATCCGTATATTGGTAAAGAAGGCTGGTCTTTCCCACTCCAGAATCACCCAGTGCTAGAAATTTTATGAGGTAATCATAGTCCCCATCAGACATAGTGAGAATTCAGGAGACACCTTAAAAATCAAAGCAAAAAGGATTAGTTAGTCAACAACTCTGCCAAGGCTTCTTTTGACAAATGTTTAAAATACAAATCACTATTTGAACTACAAAGCATCCAGCAGTGGCACCAGTTCTGTACTCTTTTACTGGTTTCACCTTAAACTCTCAATTATGCCAATTATCAACATCAAACTCAGCTGTGACTGAAAAAGTGCATGGTTATTTTTATTACGTTCCTCTTACTAGAAAAAAGAAGGCAACACAATTTTAACTTCTTCAGGAAAGACTGGAAATCAATGTCAAAGTATTCAAGACATCTGGAACATGAACAGCAGAACTGTTTTTAATCTGCGTGGAAGCTGGCAAAAGCTATTTAAACATACTAGCCATGCAATTCTGACCTCAGATTCACTGTGACATTATTAACATAGGCAAAAAAAAATTTTTTCCAGACTGCCCACTATTTAAATAAAAATTACAATCATTTTCTATCAATAGCTATTTTTCAGTCTTAAAAAAGCTTTTTCATAAAAGGAGGAAAAATAACCAAGCAACATTTTTTTGCTTTTTTTTGGTTTTTTTTTTTGTTTTGTTTTGTTTATAGAATAAATTTTCAAAGTTTTAAAAGTTTTTATCATGATGCTAGTTAATAATTTAAACTAAATCTTGATCCTGAATTGCCATTAAACAATACACAGGTTTTCCCATGGCCTGTATACATTTCAGAAACTTCTCTCTATCTTTTTTGTGCCTTTGAAAAAATAACCATACTAGATATAGTCTGATCAAAGTGCAGTAACAGAACGTATAACACAAATCACTGGCAAATTTCATTTATACTAGAAAGACTCATGTAAGAGCACTAGTACTTTCCTGC